ATCATCATTGTCAAGAATTAATGTGTAGGGATTTGCTTTGTCTCAAGTTTGACCGTAGATTGATATTGATTAGAGAACCACCGACAGTTGTAGACTGTTAAACACCCGTTTCCAACTAGTCTAAGACTCATCGGCACCCACTGGGGTTGGAACCCAGTTCCTTCCGGTTACAGGGTAAGCTTTTATATCACAAAAAAAACCATATTCTATCCTTTCACTAAGTTTTATACAAGAGTAGATTGGTAATTTTCTCAAGCTGTTTGCAAAATTTAAACTTTTTCAGATGGCGGCTATAAAGACACATCATACTTATTCATTTCTGTTTAACTGTATCCACCTAAAAATTTCTGAAAGTTTGAGCAGTGGTTGAGCTGAGGCAATAGGCATTTTCAGTCTTGTTTGCAGTTATCGTTGTTAGGCAGTACAGACCATTTCTGTGTTGTTGATCACTGAGATATTGCTGTTATTATAATCATTTATCCGACCCAGTGTAACACAAATAAAGATGTCTTGATTATGTGACCATTTTCTGACACGCCTGAATCTCCAGCACTTATCCCCAGGAACTTTCAATCTACCCTTCTCATATTTTATGAAAACTCACCTACGTTTCATCGAATCATGTTTACGAGACTTCATTCATTGTAAACACATTGTAAACACTTAAATTCTCAAGAGTTGGTTTGTAAGGATTAGATTTGTTTTTAACGAGTTTGACCACGGACTGATATCAGTTAGAGAACCATTGAAAACCAGCACTGGAGTCCTGGACACTGCTGTTTCATCCTAGTTTGGGAATCATCGACAGTACGCACCCACCGCCAGCGTATGAACACAGGACCTTCCGGTTACAAGGCAAGCTCATAGACCATTCAGCCACTGGGAACCGAATCAATGGCACATGAATTCCAACTTCTACCAATTCATGATTTAGCGCGACCACCAACCAGTATCATCGGTGGAAATCCATCCTCACTCTAGTGAGTGCTTACTGCCGATGATTCCCAAACTAGGATGAAACAGCAGTGCAGTACTCCCTGGTTTTCAATGTTTCTCTAACTGATATCAATATCTGTATTTCAGTTGGTGTACAACTGAACGATGACACACACACTGTTATCTTGTATATGCTGTCCATTACTGCATTATTATAGCAGTCTGTAGGGAAAGGTGAAATTTTTTACAACTAGTTAAAACCTCTGGTCTTGCATACACTCCATCACTTTACTGTCAAGCCATCAGTGGAGATTTTTTTTTTCACTAGGCGGAAGGAATCCTTTCCCCCTTTTTATCCGTATTCAACAGACCACACTCTTTTAACTCTTTTAACAACAAGCGAAAGTCAGTGTTGTTGAATTTATCAGACCTTGGATACACTTTCAGTTTTTTTTTTTTTTGCAAACAGCTGTTCAATAGCACGCATTAGTCTGTTAATAATAATAATAATAACAATAATACTTTGTACAATTTACTTCCTGAAAATAATTTCCAGTGTTAAATAAAAAACATATGCTTACACACACTCTTATTAGACACCTGTTTATTTATTACTCAATGTTCATGTTATCAGATATGCAGATATGCAGTTTGTACATGCTCTCCATATTGAAAGTTTCATATCTATGTGTCTATATGTACGCGTGTGCGTGTGCGTGTGTATGTTTATTTCTATGCGTATTTACAACATGTACAATTTATGTCGAACCCTTGATTCAACTTACTTATCATAGTGAACTCTGCTCTTACATATATATATGTATGTTAAGACTTAGGAAAGATAAGCATTCTTAACAGAAGTGAATGATTTTCAGGCTAAGGATTTGTTTGATCTTGTGTACGTGTCATATATTTATGTGTTGACTACCTACTTACATTTTAGCTTTGAATCTATTTCCCTTTTTTTAAAATCCACTCACATTGTGTACTCCTGTGTTTTACTTTTATTTTTTTATTTTTTTTTGAAGGTGTCTATCAAAACTTCAACTGAGTAATGTACATACAAGTGACAGTGCTAATTACACTTGTGTAGCGGAAAATTTAAATGGAGATATACACAAATCAGTACAAGTGATTGGTAAGTGCCCTCCCCCCCGCTTATTTTTTTGCTCCTTATTAACTAACATCTCTGTCTGTACGTGACAATCTTTTTTAATTTCATAAACAAGCACTGTAGAAGAAGGCAGTGTTCATTAAGTTGCCAAATACACACATGATGCTGCTTTTATAGAAATAGTTATGTGAAAAAAAGAGGCGTAGGCTTAAGGTATCTATCTCAGTGACAATTGGTGGTTTATGGATGATTTAGGTCATATGTCATACAAACTCGAAGGTGTACAAGCAAAAATCAACAACATGGCTGAAGATGCAGCAACGAAGATTAAACTTCACGTGACCCCAAAGAAAAAGGAGGTGATGAGAATAACCAACCAACAAGAGCAACAACAAACACCAGTCACCATCAATGGAAGAAATCTGAAAGACGTTACTTCCTTCACTCATCTAAACACCATCCTATCAACTATACACACACGACACGCATAACAACGTCGAAACCAATCATGATTGGAAATGGAAGACAGACATTCATCAATCTGAAAGCGGTGTGGACATCTTCTTCACAGAGTATGAAGAATAAGAATTGGATTTTGAAGATGAATGTAAAGTGAGTCGATTGTTCTATGTGGGTGAGAGACTTTTCCCGAGTGTCACGAAAAGCATTTCGAATGGTCTTCTGCAAACTTCTGTCAACAACCGCTTTCTATGGAGCAATACTGAATATCAGATGACTGGTTTGAGAGTATTAACAACAATACACTTTGAGAATGAACCAATCAGGAACTCATTGCTCAACAAATAAGTTGTAGAAAATAGAGAGATGGATTGAATACACGCTGAGGCGACCATCGAATGACATCACGCGTTAGCTAGGCCATTACTCGAGTGGAACCCGAACGAGAAACCACTTCCTAGACTGATATTAAAATGAATTAAACTCCTCCTATCATATGAATGTTATTTTCAAAAAAAAACAGTATTAGTACTACGCTAGTCAACCCTACTATCCTTTCATTAAAACTTGTATGCATGAGTTTGTTCTTAAAAAAATAGGCAAAATGTCAGAGTATTTTGGTTCAGTTTTGATTTTCACACTAACTGACTAGACCAAGATTTCCAGCCTCTACTAACATGTCAGCTTCTTAACGAACCATAAAATAATAATAACTGATGCCAGCTACACAAGACATGGCTTTTGTGGCCTAAGTGACACTTGAAACCATGCGTCCTGGGTTCGAGTTTCACTGGGAGCAGTATCACTCACTAGGAGATGGTGGTACGTCCAACTGACGAGTCCCAAATAGGATGAAGTGTGCCACCTGGTTTCCACTGCCAGCCATCACTCACCAGAATTCGACAGCATCACACCCAAACTTCCCTCTTTACTGCGCTTACTATCGGCTAAGGGATGACTGGGAGTGCACCGGGAATGGAACCACGGACCAAATGCAACGCGGTTGGCAAGAATTCTACTGCTTGACCACCGAAGCATTACATACATAGCTCTAATGCTGGTTGACAGCTACTTTCACCAACAGCCACATATATATCTGACACTTCTCATTTTCACTGACTTCGGACAATTTCCAGTGTCTGGTGCATCTGTGATAGGGCCACAGGACTCATCACAAGATCTGTGGGGATTGTTATAAAAAGAAACAACTAAAATTTTGTCATACACGTGATTTCGAAATGATCAAGGCCCAATTGATTTTTAGTGACACTTGTAATATGAAGAATTCACTGACGGTTGACAGGTTTAGATTGGCCGAAGCGGATCATATGAACTATGAACAAATAAATCCAATTCACATCAAGAGGAAATTTTTAAGTGCTTATTCTAATCATTAATAAGTAGTTTGATATTTTTTGGTGGTTTGGTAAAAGGGGGCTCCTTCTTATCCCAATTGTAAATCCCTGCGATAAATATCAAGATTGTGAAACTGAACTAGTGTACTTAAATTTACGTTTACATTGTGCATGATAGTATTCTGAATTGCTGTTATTATCAGATAGCTGGAGGAGACCGTCAGGAAGCCATGTGCGTAGATTTCGTGCCTGTCGGCACTCACCAATCAGCAAGATGTATCTACAACCTTCAAGGAACCAATGTCCCTCTGAGACGCCAACTCATGTCACCCTGTGCTGTAGTTAGAGACGTTACCACTGAACTATCGGGGCTGACGACCGTCCTCATGTAGGACTGTTTAGGATAGCTTGGTTGGACACTAGGTAAAAAGTGAATTGCGTGATACGTCTAGTCTTTTGTTTGGTGCAGACTGAATTCTACAAGTCAAGTTATATAGTGAAATTTCAAAGATTACGACGACTTTTTAAATTCATGAAAAGATAGAAATTATACTTTCAAGAAGGAATTAGACTGGAAGGCACAAATATAGATAAAGTATCTCATTTCAGTCTGTTTTCGAGAATTGTTTGTTTACAATGCATAGGTGAAAATATCTAGTAAGTCGAAGGAGCCTTTATCCTGCTGGAACTATAGAAATCTCGTCGTTACAGAACCATCACTTCAAGTGACGGGTATTATGATAAAAAATTTTCAGTTGCTCATTCCAGGTGTTTGAGAAGAACTCCTTTACGTTCCAAGTGGAACAAATCGCTGCCAGATAGAGCTCTGAAGCTTCGGTAGCAGTGGACTTATTTCTATCCGGTGGTGTTTCTAATCTCACATCTAACATTCCCTCTTTACCTGCCTTACTACCGGCCAGAGATCGAGCCCTGCGTGGTTGGTGGTGGATTCTAACTCTGAACCACCGGTGCATAATTTGATGAATAAACATGTATCTTTGTGTTTGCTAACGTGGAAACGACCTTGAGAAGGGATTCCACCAAAAAATAATCCTTCTTTATATTTACAATATTAGAAGGTCAAAGTTAACTAATTTATAATAAGAATTTGTGTTTGTTTTTATTCTGTCATTTAGTGAGACCAACAACTACCCTACCACCGCCAACAACGACAACAACCAATTTGTTCGTCACACCAGAGGTGACCACCGTCGTCCCAGGTATGTCCGAAGTATTCAAGTGATTTTTTTTTTACTTCAGATGTGTATTGCCTTGTAAAACAAAAATCTGCACTTAAGTGTCACATTCTAACTGATAAAAGTCGTTATGATAAGTACAGAGAAAAGTACCCATCCATACATGAATATAAGAACAGTGAAGTTCATCGAAGGGTCTCTTTTCGGAGAATTCATTCAGTTATATTTACAATCGCATTTATATATACATAATTATTTTGTCAAACAAAAATAAAATAAACATTAGTTAGGGTTACTGTTTACGTCATCAAAATCTTTCTTAAATGTGATGAATAATCAAAATTGCAACTAGGGGTGTGTGTGAAGATTGGTGAGTATTGACAAGGTTTGCATAATATGAAATAGGATGTTAATGGAGACACGTGTCCAAAAAATAAATTATGTAATAGGTAGAAAGAGTAAATAAAGGGTTGGTTAAGAAGAAGATGTTACTAAGATGCCATACACAAATTCAAAAAACAATAAAAATAAAACAAAACATTATCAACGAAGTCGTAGAATTTGGAATTATACCCAAGGTAGAAGGAGCGGGTGGAGAAGTTTCTTCTGTGTACATAGATCAGGGTTTTCTATCCGGATCGCTAAGGCCTCGGCAATGCAAAGTATACGGAAGCTTACCGTTTTCGGCAGGCCTCTTTTAACTTCGTCGATGACTTTGAATGAATTCTCCTTACATATTGAGTCATCAGTGTTGAATAGATGTCCAATTATAGCACTGTTTATTGATCCAGTGTTACTTTTTCCTAGCCAAGAGGGATAATGTTCCTTGACTCTATCAAATAAAACACGCATCGATCGACCTATATATCTCGCTCCACATGAACAAGTGAATTGGTAGAGACATAGACACATAGAAGTGGTCATTTACGGTAGTTTATCCTTATAGTTCAATGGATGGCTTGAGAATACCAACCATTATGTAGCACAGCACGGAATGTTCTTTTCAGGGCGTTAGATATTCTTTTCTTTAGGATGTCGGCCAGAAGGTCGTCTTTCAATGTCACATTCATGTATAGCATCTTCTTTGGCACAGAGATGGGTTGTTCTTTGTTGATTTTCAGCTTTATGTGGTTATCTATAAAGCGTGGTAGATGGACATTCGCAAGTAGTCTTCTTCAAAAGAGTGATCTCCTCTTCTACTGATTTGAGGCTGACAATCCAAATGTACACACACACACACAAAATAATTATTTATAAATGCGACTGTACAGCTAAGTGAATGAATTCGCCGAAAAGTAACTCTTCGATGAACTTTGTTGTTCTTATATACAAAGAAAAGGGTTTACAAAAGCACTGACACAGATAAATTAGAGCTGTATTCACTTAAACTCTTATGAGCTGGGATCAAGATATTTACATAAATATTATCATAATGTAAGCCAGTATAGCTTCACCTGTATTTTTAGCAAATTTTGAGATGTCTGTACAATGTTGGCATTTAATGGTTGAGAAATCGCCATCAGCAGTCAAATAACATTATTATTATTATTCTAATGGGTTCCGAGTGGAACATAGGGATTCAACAACACATATCCACTTCATTCTATTCCCTGCAGTCCTCTTTGGCTTGGCTCACGATTACCCATAATCTCTCATCTTCTCCTCAAACTCACACTATCTCCTCCATGTCACTCACTCTCGCACTGACGACTTACTCGTCGTTTCCCATTCGAGTTCCACTCGAGCAACCACCTGCACTGTGCGCGGCGCCATCTGACGGTCTCCACGCAGTGTGCCCAATGCACCTCCATTTTCCTCTACATATCTGATGAACGATAGTTTCTTGGTTGGTCTGTACTCAGTCAGAGTTTCTTGTTGCTAATTCTTTCTGGCCAGCTGGCTGGCCGTTTGATCTTCAGTATGGAACCAGTCAGCGAAAGGGGGCAGCTGTTGATAAAAGTCTACAGTGGCCTGTTGGAAATGGTTTTCGTGACGCACAGGCCAAGTTTGTGACCGGTATGGAAGAATTGACGGACTTCCTATTTGTGTTGAAAATCGTATCCTTTTGTTTATGCTGGCTGAGTGAAGTTTCCAAACTGGTTTGAGGTTGATGCGGGCGTATCTTTTCCTTCCGATTCTGGTTGGCTTTGACATCTTCAGCCGTTTCACCTTTGGTTGAAACGATACTTCCTAGGGTTGTCAGTTAATTGAAGAATTACTATCTACACATTCATAGTCCTATAGGAAGTTAATCAGGACATCCGTAACTGTAGCACTGGCTAATGAGGGTTTGAATCTCAAATTTGTTCTGGTTTCAGGGTAAGCCTCGCTGACGATTACCAGCAAGGACGAAATGAAGCTCTGGAGTTCCCTACAGATTATCTACAACTGTCTACCATCTCAGAGATTCGCATTTCTTTGTAAAGACTAACAGGGAAAAATATCTGTAAAACTATATATTTTCAAAGTGTCTATTCTAATCCCTTTCTGAAACTACACATTTTTCAATTTGTCGGGATTATACAAACGCATAAGACTATGCTTCTTTCAGATTTCTCCCAATCAACATAAGTGAGAGTCACTTGAAAACGTTGACGGAGAACCGCACGCACTGGAAACATGCAGCTGAAGCCCTATGTTTCCCTCGGCACCGGTTAATTTCAATAAGTACTATGGCACACACAATTTAAAATAGGAAGGCTTATAATTAAGCGAATACTTAATCCAATAAGTTGTGTAGAACAAGACATTCTGGAATGTATGGGAATAAACTCTTTTTTTTCAAAAGATGACTTTTATAATCGTGTTCAAAAAAAGTTGAAGGATTCTTTCCCGAATGGCATATTTTTCAATCAATCGTTCATTTTCTTACTCTGTCTTATAAGCTTTCTCTGAAAATCATTCATTATACTTCGGAAGAAAAAAATGAACACTATTCATTTCAAAGCTTAGGAAACCGATTAGTAAAAATTAACTAGCCAAAAATAATCTATTTATATATATTATTTTGACGTGGGAAAGTATGCTGAACAATTTTGGCGTTATCAGAATTGTCTCGTGTTTAAGTGTATTCACGTGCTACAGAAATAAATTACATCAGTGTATGAAAGTTTTGTTCAGAGAGCCTGATAATTAGGCGACCGGACAAGTTGCGACAAACAAATACAGTTCTCGACCAGTTTAACGTGATCTTACGTACAAGTTAGGCATTGATATTAGTGTCATTTTGTCAGATAGCTTAGATTGGAGGATTTCATTATACGCTGACACCAGTTAGAGATCCACTGGAAAACCACAACGAAGTATTGGACAGCTGTTTCGCCACAGCCTAGGACTCCCCACAGTACGCACCCACCGCCAGGATTTAAACCCACGACCTCCTGGTTACAAGGCCAGCGAGCTCGCAGACCATTCAGCCACTTGGAGCCGCCAGTCCAATGGCCACTCCATGAGTTCCAACTTCTGCCGATTCACGACATAGCTCGACCGCTAGCCAATGCCTTCGGAGAGTATTTGTCGTCACACCTAACATGCTGTACCCTACTGGTCATGGTTTCCCACTAGAACCCCAGGTTAACTGCCTGATTAAGGCCAGTCGCTAGTGAGCCTCCATTGATTCTCTAACTGACGTCAGCTCATGATGAAATCCTCCAACCAATCAAACAAAATCCTTATAAAAACAATACTTGAAGATGTTGTTTTATTTATCAAACAGTCAATGTAGATAGTTCCATCTGAACAGCTTTCTTCCTATCACTTTTCAAGCAAAAGCTTGCTATACATCTACCGTAAACAGCTAATTCGACAGTGGTAATATGTATGAAATCAACTACTATTTAGGCTACCGGAAAGAAGTCCTCAACTCTCATCTCTTGTAAGGTCGGTGGAGATTGTCTTGAACAAACCAGATTATTAATATATTATTATTATCAGTTAGAGAACCACTGGAAAACCTGGGAGTACTGGACAGCTGTTTCGTCCTAGTTTGGGACTCTTCATCAGTACGCACTCAGTGGCTCAATGGTCTACGAGCTCGCTGGCCTTGTAGCCAGGAGGTCCTGGGTTCGAATCCCGGTGGTTGCGTACTGATGAAGAGTCCCAAACTAGGCTAACGAAACAGCTGTCCAGTACTCCCAGGTTTTCCAGTGGTTAGCTCATGATGAAATCCTCCATGCAATCAAACAAAATCCCTACAAAACCAATACTTGAAAATTATTATCATCCTTGTAATTCTTAGCTTATTCTTTTATTTCGTCAGTGGAACTCACCTCTTACCAACAAATACACTCTAAGCTGTACAGACATATCGAACTGAAGTGAATGAGTGTTTTTTTTTCTCCTGTGCTAGAAGATGTTTTAATTACACAGTCTCTCACTTAACTCTACCACCCACTTTCATAGGATAATTTAGGAAGTCTATCATTAAAAACCGAATCTCATTCATTACTGCTGAATATATATATGTTTGTGTTTACTCCTATTTGTATAGTTTTTAAAAAACAAAAAAAACAACTCTTTCTTGTCAGTGAGTAAATAAAATCACCATAAAAGCGAAACAATTCAACTGTTTATTTAGGCTTTCAAATACTGCTCAACACTTTTTGTGTCAAACAACAACCAACAAATCGGAAGAAAAGAGGAATTCAGCTGGGTTATTTTTTTATGCATTAAGATTTCTGAAATGAATAATTAATTATACGCTTGCTTCGACTCGTGCTTTGTTTTCATTATTGTTATTATTATTATTCTCCTCAGTTTTATTGCTTTCAGTAGGCTGGATTACCCAGAATTCGTTTATATTTACCGTCCTGAATTAATTCATTGAAAATCTTTATAAACAGAGTGATGCTGGTATCAATAACATTATCACTGTTTACATCTGTTTATATAAGCCTCCTCTTTCTCAGTTGACAAAAATATAATGCCTACAAACAAACAACCAGGGAGACATGAGGCTTTATTATTTATTATTGTTATTATTATTTCCTTTAATTCCTAGAGGAACATAGGGCTTCAGTCGCGCA